TTTTGGGACCAATTCGAGGTTGCTATTCATGATAATGACAATGTGCCTTCTGTTCAAAAATTCACCTACCTGCGTTCAGTACTTGAAGGGATTGCTTATCACACAATCGAGGGATTTGAAGTCACTAGTGCTAATTATCAGCATGCTGTTGATGCTCTGAAACATCGCTTTGGTAGGAAAAGAATAATTATTTCATCTCTAGTCAAGTCAATTATCCAGTTACCAAGGTCAAACGAAGGGGTAGAGTTTTTGCGAGATCTCCATGACACGCTAAAGAATCGGATTAGAGCACTGGAGGCCCTAGGCGAAAAGCCAACGACCCATTCTTGTATCCTCCTTCCAATATTGGAAACCAAACTTCCACCTGAGTTATCCGAAAAATGGGAATAAGAACTAACTGACACAAAGGAAGAAAGTGTTGATCTTGAACTTTTCTTCAAGTTCCTGAATAAACAAGAGATTTCCAGGGAGGCCGGAAAAAGGAATGCTAGTATGATTGGTGGGAATGGTGGGACAGCCAGAGGAGGTGGGGGATGGGACAAGGATGGAACTAGGGTAAGCAACACCCAAGAGAAAGTGTTTTCAGCAGCTGCTCTATTAGCAGGTGAGACAAATCGGAGAAGTTATGCAGCTTGCCATGTGTGTGAGCAGGGACATGAAACCCTTAAATGTCTAGAGTCTGCGCGAAAGTCAATTGACAAACGTTGGCAGTTAGTAAGGGAGAGCCGGCTGTGTTTTAACTTTTAAAAGCCTGCCAATACTTTCCACTATTCTTCAGTCTGCCGCCAACTCAAGTGCAAGGTTGAAGGATGTGGCCGGCGTCATCACACTATACTTCATGGTGACTGGGATCCTACCACGGAGGAAAAGGGACATACAACATTAAGTGGATTTGTGGCTTCGTACAACTCCAAGATGCAACAAACCTTATTACAGACTAGGACAGCCATGCTGGTTTCAGACGGTCTCCAGAAAGCACCTGTAAGGGTTTTGTTTGACTCAGGAAGCCAAAAGTCTTATATCACCAAGAAGGTTGCCGAATCACTTGCCCTTGATGGACCTTCTAAGGTCCTTAGTGTATCCATGTTAGGGGGAGAAACCATTCAAACGAAGAGAATGAGGAAAGTCAGGTTCTCGCTCGCCTCTGTTCAAGAAAACATTTCAACGCCAGGTAGCATGGAGGCCCTCACCATTGACAAGATCTGCACACCACTAGAACCAGTGGAGATCAGGTTAGAAGATTACCCCCAGCTGCAGAACTTGATACTTGCCGACTCGTACCCTCGTGGACCAGTTAACGTCGATATTTTGATAGGAGCAGACTTTTTACTTTTCATTTATGACTGGTAAATGCAAGAAAGGGGAAACCACTCATGCTCCCACTACAGTAGAGTCAACACCTGGATGGATTGTAGGAGGACCCATCGAGGGTCTTCCTTCCAAGAACACTCTATCCATGCTGTCTACCGTGTGCGTTGATCCAGTCACGGAGAGCCTTAATCAGTTTTGGGAGCTGGAATCTATTGCAACTGTAGATAAAAGGAATGCAGCTATGTCCTTAGAGGAAGAAGAGTCTGTTAGACAGTTCAACGAGGGACTCAAGTTCGATGGTAAGCGTTATGAAGTACCGCTGTTATGGAAAAGCGATGCTCTGCCATTGAAGCCAAACTACCTCCAGGTAGTCAAGAGGCTTGAGAGTGTCGAAAGACAGCTTAGAAGAAACCCAGAGAGAGCCAATGCTTACAGAGGACGCCATCCATCGAGGAACAGACGGAACATCAAAAGACCTTTGGGGGAAACACCACCAAGTAGCAGAGCTCTACGAGACTGTAACATGAGCAACATGACTACGACTGAAGAGCCGCAAGTTGAAGAAAAACAGTCGGCTGAGAAGAAAGTTGTTGCCAGTAAAGTGAGCGGTGCAGTGAAGTGGTTTAACGTGAAGAGCGGTTATGGCTTTATCAACAGAGATGACCGTGACAACAAAGAGGATATATTTGTTCATCAGACTGTCATCAAGAAGAACAATCCCAAGAAGTACTTGCACAGTGTTGGAGATGGGGAGACAGTGGAGTTTGATGTTGTATCAGGAGCGAANAATTGCTTCCTGGAAAAGACGGCTTGATTCGTACCATTGTTTTGAAGACAAAGAAAGAGCTTCTAAGGAGACCTGTACGGAGGCTACCTCGTCTGGAAGCAAGCAGTACTCAATTTGGAAGTGGTGAATCAGGTGAAAGCGGTGCTTACGGTGGGGAGTCGTTACTCGAAAGGTCAAGAAAAGGGCGAAGAAGAAACAAGTTACACAGAAATCAGTGTCAAGTCTCCAAAAGTATTGGAGAGGTGGGGAGGATGTTCGGGCCCGGACCCGCAGTGGGAGGATCTCACGCCCCCTAGTGAGACTGGACTTATGACGGGATCACCCTACTGAGGACGTGAGTAATTATATAACAGACAAGTAGATTAATAAAATATTTGCAGTATGATGTAATACAAAAGCGGGCACTAATGAACTAAAACGCTAGAGAAGTGTTATAATGCTGTAATTGTTTGTTAAGTTCAGGTTTGATCTTATTTATATAAAAGGCTTCTTTGAGTTTTAAATCAATAGAGTTGTTAGCAAAATCCAGAATACTAAAGCAAGAAAGGGAGTATTTGTTCTTACGAGAAGGAGATGTATTGAAATGCTTAAAAATATGCGAGTTTATATCGCTCTACGTGTGCTCCTTTATCCTATTAGAGAAGTGGCGACTAGTTTCGCCAATATAACGGGAATTACATCCCGCACAAGAAAATTGATAAACCACCATGGATTTTAGAGCTACTTGATAAACTACCATGGATTTTAAAACTATAAATCTGTCAAAATAACACGAAGCCGTAAAAAGGTGAGACTTAATAAAACAAAAAGATAAAGCTAAAAATACTCGAATTAGCAATCCTTTAAAATACTCTACAACAGTATAGTGAAAGTTACTGGCAATCAAATATCAGTGGAAAGCGTGTTCGATTCAGTATTGTTTTCTAGCGCGCATTTCCAAGCTGGGATTGTTATTTGTCGTTAAACTGCAAACTAAGCATTCGCATGCTTTTGAAATTGGTAAGTGATCCTCAATGACAAGACACGTTACTGAATGTAGAAAAATATCTAAGAGGTTTCCTTTTCGCTTTCTTCTCAGCCGAGCAGCGACTTATAAAAAAAATTATGCATTAAAAAAAAACCGTGAGGTCTTCGGAA